TTTTTACTACTTTACCTACTCATTTACCTACGGATGTTAAATAAAAAAAAGAAAAAAAAAATAAAAAACCCTCGCTACACTTCCTCCGCGCCTCACTCAAGCTCCCTAACTCCTTCCTTCGTCTCCCTCAATTTCACTAACCTCCTCTATAACCCGCCACCCACCTCCTTCACCGGAACCCTAGCTGCAGCCTCCCCACTCTCGAGCACCCCACACGGTATCCTCATTTGAACCCATATACCCGTCACCACCAGGCTTCTTCCCCGTCACCACCACAACCATACCCGTGCCCTAATTCCACCTTCACTCACCAAAGCTTCTCACCAACGCAGAACCACCCTGCAGTCGCACCACATCTTAGCTTTCAGCCTCCAGATTCTCGCCCAATCACCCTCATCGGAACCACCACATCTCACGACCGCGGACCCCCCTTTTCGCAGAAACCCCGTCTTCGCGGCCTCCACCACCATCTTCACGATGCACCGCCATTGTGAGGTCGTCGTCCCCTTCGTCGAGCCACCGCAAGGCCAAGTCGCAGTCGCAGCCTCACCCTAATCCAACCTCCACCAAAGCCCCTCGTCATCCACGACAACCACCACCATCGAGCGTCCCAACCCCCACTCCTCACCACTAACGTCTCCACTCTGCTCCACTTCCCTCCTGTGTTGAATCTCTCCCTTCGCCCCAAACCACCGCGCACCACTGCCCATAGCCGGCCACCGCGAACCCAGCCGCAAATCAACCTCCAGGTCAGGACGCCACCACACCCCCTGTCGCGCAGCATCCCTGCAGCCTGGAACTTGAGTCACCTCGACGCCGGCTGCGGTCACCGCCTCTCCTCGCTCCAGCCCACCCCCATTGTGCCACTGAGCTCGCTGTGAGCTAGATGTGAGATATAGAGGCAGCGAGTTAAGCCTGGTATTATGCTTTAATCCTATTTCTTTCACATTTTTTGGAGTCTGAACTGTTCTGCTTAGTTAACTATTAAGCCCGGGTCTGGTTTATTTGCATATGAATCATTGAATTGGTGGCTCTGTTAGTTGAATAAGATCTTGGTTTATTAAGGTTTTTTGTACCGTTATTTCTGTTTAGTTTGACTTGAATCTGTGGTTTTCACTTGATGAGGTTGAGACTGGTGTTATCCAAGTCCTATTGGCTTGGTTCATGTCTCTGTGGCTTAGTTTCTTGGTGGGTGAGTTAAGAATGTGTTTCCACCTTACAAATGCTTCATAATCATGACCCCAAAAAACTTATGAGCATATTTGACAAATTTAGGTCCAGTTGGATCCTTCTAGAGCGATTTACAAAAATGTTCATTATAACATCAAAAATGGAAGATTAGGTCATAAGTTTGAAAATAAAGGGAAGGGAAGTGGATACTCATGAATACCCTGATATGCCTTCAACTCTGGTGGGTGATTAGAGTCAAATTTAACTAAACTCAACTTTATCAGTTTGTTGGATATTTTGAATTTCTTTAGCGTATCTGTAAGTTGATAAAATATTTTTTATGGATATGGTTGTTTAACTGATGAATGTAATTGTTTCCATGTGTGCTTGTGAACAAATCATGCTACTTAACATGCCTCCATGGCCCCTCTCCTCCATATTCCTGTTATGCTTAGATTAATTGACCCATGCATTTAGTTCTGTGTCATTCTGACTTAATTATTGATGAGTAAGTAGATTCTATTTGTAAAAATATTACATCATATATGTGAACACAGTTAATCCCCATGTTAGTTGTTAGAACATTAAGCATGTACAATGAAATTTTACCGGGACAATTTGAATTTTGTTATATATTTTTTGTGTGAATCTTGTGTGCTTCTCAGTAGAAAATTCTCTCTGCTGAAGACCTAATTTGTAAATGGTACAGAACAATTTAAAGAAAATACTAACCATCACTAATGATTAAGGAAAAAAATAACATTAAATCAGTAATATACAAAAAATTAAAGTCTAACTTTATTTTGGTTGCTGGATTGTATGTGCATAAAAACAACTACAATCATCCATATTATGAAAAAAAAAAATAGTAACTGAATCAAAATCCAAGATTGATTATAATTGGCTTACACCACTGCACTGTCTTAATATAGATGCATTAGATTCTCCTTATCCTTGCCATACATATTCAACAAAAACTATCAAATGAAACATGTTATTTACAACCATATTAGCTATTTGGTGTATATTTATTATCGTTATCATACCTTATTTACTAACTCTGTGTATGATAAGCGCTAAGACGATCTTGCCTAATAAAATTGTTTTTTATTTTTTTAAGATTTTTTGCAGTCAAGTAAGGATATTAGAAAAATAGATAATTACAAAATTTGATGTGTATAAACTTATCTTTATTTTTTAGTATTATAACAATCTTACATTTTTTTAATGTGTAGAAAATAAGAATAATTAATACTAATAAAATTGATTACAAAAATATTAATAGAACATATAAAATCATAAAAATCCGAAAAGAAATAAATAGTAGAAAAATAAATTCAAAATTAATTTTTAATTTTTCTAGTGTCCATTTGTCTTGATATCCCACAAATGGTGAATTGTGGGATAAATATTAAGCATTCTTAATAATAAAATGAAATTATCGAAGATTTATATTTTTAATATAAATGTTTACTTACTAATAATAAGGAAATTTAGGAAATATGATCAATAAACTATTTTGAGTTTTATCCTATCATAACAATCAAATTCAATTTGCATGTTTGTAGAATACTAGGGTAGTTGTAATGTGTAAAACAAATTAGTTCTTGCATTATAACATAATTGGTTTGTTAAAAGGAAATTTTGGATCTTGCAATAAAATATATATATATATATATATATATATATATATATATATGAATGAGTGAAGAATCAAGATATATACCATCCTGTGATATATAAAGCGAAGGATATTCAAACTGTATCTCGAGTTAGTTATTGTTGGCTCAACTGGTGTATTTGAGAATGTGATGTCTAGTCTTATACGTGAGATACATGACAATTTAGTTGCATTAATAATGAAGAAATACCAATATGCATCATAAAAGACCTATTTTGGTCAATATTTGTAATACATATTTATTTTGATTCATCATTATTCCAGATTTGTTTCTTACTATGCTAAAACCAAGAAAATATTTCAAATTCCCAATTCTGAAAAAATATGCATTAAAAGCGTGCATGATATATCCGCTTAAGAAAAGTGGGGAAGAGATATGAGAAAAACTTTATAAATATTGAATAATCAGAAATAGATTGAAAATATATAATATTTAATAAAAAATGATGGTACCTTAGGAAATCAGTTCTTATTTATTTAAGGTTATATAATGTCTTTTGAAGTTTACGATAATAAAATAGATTCAGAAATAAGAGTTTTCAAATACATCTCACAGCTTATAATACAAAATCATTGAATTTGGTGAACATTTTTAGAGCGTGAATTATTATTTATATTATACTGTACCATGGAATGCTTTAAATTAGCTCTTGTTATCATACTGTTGTGTGTTCAATAGTTAGAAAAACTAGTTCAATTACTTTCTGTTTACATGAACCTATTTTAGAGAGAGAGAAATATCATGTACTGTTTACAACTGACAATTCATTATATAATATAATAATAAATATAATATTTAAATAATGTTATTATTCAGTTGGTTGGATTGTGTGGTTGATTACCATGAGGCTATTAGTATGGTTTGCGTTTGAACGTGTCGTGTAATTTCATAGGGGAAGCTTCATAAAAGATAGAAGGATAAAGGGAAGGAAGTGACTCCTCATCCAATTTGAAGATCTTTGTTAGTAGGTAAGTAATTACCTTTGACTTTTCTATATTGAATTTTAAATACTTGATTGATTAGTTGGCTATGGATGCCTTGTATTCGAGTGAGGATTGGGGGCAATAAATGTAACATGTAACATGGTTAGTCGAAGGATTGAGTTGTTTGATTATTTTGTTCAATTTGCACTACAAGAAAATCGCGTATTACGACGGATATTTACCGACGGATTTGTAGCCGTCGGAAAATAATCATTACCGACGGAAATTACCGACGGATATAGAATATTTGTGAAATTTGATGTTACCGACGGATATATCCGTCGGTAAAATAATAATTAGTTACCGACGGATATATCCGTCGATAAATCCGTCGGTAATTTATTGATGAATTTACCGACGGATATATCCGTCGGTAAATCAGTCGATAATTTAACAATTAATTACCGACGGATATATCCGTCTGGTAAATTCATATGTAAATTAAAAATTATTTACCGACGGATATATCCGTCGGTAAAATTATATAATATAATTTAATTATTCACTAATTAAAAAATAAATATTTTTTATTTAATAATTTAATTTAATCATAATTAGATTAATTTATAATCATTTATTAAATTAAGTAATTTTAAAAATAAATATTTAATTATATATAAATATATGAAAATATATAAATATATAAAAATATATAAATATATAAATATATGAAAATATAAAAATATATAAATATAAAATATATAAATATATAAATATATAAATATAAAATATAAAAATATAAAAATATATAAAAATATATAAATATAAAATATATAAATATATAAATATATAAATATATAAATATATAAAATATAAAAATATATAAATATAAAATATAAAAATATATAAAAATATATAAATATAAAATATATAAATATATAGATATATAAATATATAAAAATATATAAAAATATATAAAAATATATAAAAATATATATAAATATATATAAATATATAAAAATATATATAAATATATATAAATATATATAAATATATATAAATATATAAAAATATGTATAAATATATATAAATATATAAAAATATATATAAATATATAAATATATATATAAATATATATTAATATATATAAATATATATAAATATATATAAATGTATTTGTATATTTGTATATAAATATAATTTATTTGTAAATTGTTATCAAGAAATTCTAGTAGCTTAGTGGTTGGAGTATCGACCTCGACTCTAAGGTCGCGGGTTCAAATCCTGCCAATGACATTTCTCTTAATCTGACAATAATTCAAAGCTATAAAAATATAATATGGAGAAATAATTAGTAATAAATAATAAGAATATAAGAGGGAGGAATAATTAGTAATAAATAATAAGAATATAAGAGGGAGGAGTTCTATAAAAAAAATATGTTATAAATAAGTCAAATATTTAATAATTAATAAAATTATTACCGACGGATAAATCCGTCTGTAATTTCATAACACATTTACCGACGGATAAATCCGTCGGTAATATTTACCGACAATCGAATTTCCGACGGATTTTTGGTCGTTGAATTCCGTCTGTAATATTCATTTACCGACGGATTTTTGTTATTACCGACGGATTTTGACCGTCGGTAATTTTAATATTTCTTGTAGTGTTGTTTGCATTGATTCAAGATACATATTACCAATCATCATTTAAAATTGATGAATATTTTGTATTATAATTGATGAATATCAATTTATGATGAATATTGTTAGTTTTGTATCTTCATATATTATCAAGATGAGATTAGTTATTTAGTTATTCTAACCTTATTGGCTAAGAGGTTTACATGAGTCCTACATGGAATAGCCTTCAAGTTATTATATTGGTCATTACCAAACACTTGTCAAAATCCTTTCTAATTTTGTACTTTAATTAGTGTAACATTAAAGTTCACATTTTGTAGAACATGGATCAATTTTATGCAAATCGCTATTGGATGTATGATCGAAGCCATAGTAATAGAGGTGGTTTAAAACAAAGTTTTGTTGATGGCGTTGAAGAGTTTGTCATGAAAGCTTCTCAACAAGTTTGTTATCAAAATGAAGGCCAAACGAGATGTCCATGCAATAAATGTCAATGTACAAAGATCTTGCCAATGGAAATGGTTAAACTTCACCTTTATAAAAATGGTTTCATGCCTGATTATTATGTTTGGGTTGATCACGGTGAGGAAATGCCTCATGCTAACAAAAATTGGACACATGCTTCAAGTAGTGGGTTACATTTTTCAGAAGATGAGGCATTGATGGCAATGCAGGACATGGTGTATGACGCACTTAGGCAACATGAAACATTTCAACCACCAGAGTCAAATATCATGGAAGAGCCTCCAAATGAAGAAGCTCAAAGATTTTATGATTTGTTGTTGGAAGCGAATAAACCTTTGTTTGAAGGTGCTTTAGACTCCAAACTGTCCATATGTGTAAGATTGTTAGCTTGCAAATCTAATTGGCATGTTCCTGATCACGCTTTAAATTTCATTATAAAAATGCTTTTGGATGTAACACCCAACAAAAATAGTTTACCAAAAAACTATTACGATGCGAAGAGGTTAGTTTCAAAGTTGGGATTAGAGGCTAAAAGGATCGATTGTTGTGTTAATGATTGTATGCTTTTTTATGACAATGATTACGGGAAAAATGATGGATCTTTGCTGCAATGCAAATTTTGTCACAAGCCAAGGTATCATGCCCCAAAAGTTGAAACTCGTAAAAATAAACCAATTCCGATTAAGAGCATGTTCTATTTACCTATAATTCTGAGGTTAAAGAGGTTGTATGCATCCATGAAAACGGCTGGACAAATGACATGGCACTATGATAATAAAAGACCAGAAGGTGTGTTGTGTCATCCATCTGATGGTAAAGCTTGGAAGCATTTTGATCAAGTTTATCCAGATTTTGCTACTGAACCACGCAATATAAGACTAGGTCTATGTTCTGATGGATTTAATCCATATATTGAAGCATCTGCCACGCCCTATTCTTGTTGGCCAGTAATTATGACCCCATATAATCTTCCTCCTGAAATATGTATGTCCAAACCTTATATGTTTTTGACATGCCTCATTCCTGGTCCACATAATCCAAAGTCATGTATTGATGTGTATTTACAACCTTTGATTGATGATCTGATGCAATTGTGGAGAGGAGTTGAAACATATGATATTTCAAGGAAACAAAATTTTGTAATGAGGGCTAGTTTGATGTGGACTATTAATGATTTTCCTGCATATGGTATGTTGTCAGGTTGGAGGACTCAAGGTAAACTAGCCTGCCCGCATTGCATGGGGGATACAAAGGCCTTTACATTGCAGAATGGGAGGAAAAATAGTTGGTTTGATTCACACCGTAGGTTCTTGCCCAAAAATCATGTATTTAGAAGGAATAAAAAAGCTTTTAAAAAGGGAAAAATTGAAACTAATGACCCACCATGTACATTGACATCCGAGCAAGTTTGGAGTATAATTATGGATGTACCCAAAGTCATAGATTACCCTCATATGAACAAGTTACCAGGCTATGGGGAATGGCATAATTGGACAAAAAGAAGTATCTTTTGGGATTTGCCGTATTGGAAGAATAATTTATTGAGGCACAATCTTGATGTTATGCACATAGAGAAAAATTTCTTTGATAATATATTCAACACTGTCATGAATGTCAAAGGTAAGACAAAAGATAATGATAAGGCAAGGAAGGACCTAGCTTTGTATTGATGTAGACCAGAT